ACTCTAATTTTCAATGTAGGTTAAGAAACTGAATTATGAAAAACGGTAAACACAACTCTCAAAACGTTTCTCTATAAAAGAGCAGGAGCCATGCATCGAAAAATCAACTATTCATTGATTCATTCAATTTGGAGTGATTTATTTGTAACGATCTTGGTCGTCAAGCAAGTTTTATGTTTCAGCCTCTTATTTGATTTTTGTTGATTAAAAGTCCCTTTTTTTAAAGAAAGTAAATTAAAATCTGATTAAGGCCTCTGGGAGACTCTTCTCAAACGCGAGTTTTAGGAGGGAAAATTCACGTATTCTTCCGGCACAAATTACATTTTGAATGTCCTAAAATACCTTCTGTCGTGGTAAAATCCACGACATCGAAATTGAGTAGGAAGACGAGAGGTCAAAATATCTTCGTAAGACTTGGAGGAGCCCAGAGGACCCCGATAACGAGCATCAGAGGAAGGATCCGGCGACTACGTCCCTCTCCGAGTCCACGCCAATCGAATGGACGCAAAATATGTCTCCAACCCAGGGATCCAACGTCTCCAGGTGCTAGAGCTACTTGGCTCAGGTCACTCCGACAGCCAATGACAAGCCAATGTTGAGCGGAGCGGAGTGGGGGAAAACATTCGAAGCCTCGACGGCATGGACACCCCTCAAGGTTACCCGAGTAAATCCCTCACGTTTCCGGGGGGGTTTTCGACGGTTTCCCTCGGGATTTCCACACGTTTTCTTGCGCGATATGTCCCAAAACCTCCACAAAGACGGCCCTGTGAGATGAATAATCCTCCACACGCGATCAGCCATGGTTTTCGGATAAACCATGGCCGAGAAAACACTCGCGAACACCTCAACGGAGGGAAACGCTGTTCGATCCGTCGATCGAACAGGATTAATTCACTCGCGAACCGAATTAAATATGCGATCTCCAGTAACCGGCGTTACTGGGATGAATTTAAAGAAATTTCCTCACCTTTCCACGGGATGCATTTGATCTCCGGGATCCTCCCATTGTCCACTCTTCCTCTCTTCCTTTCTCTGGGGAAAACTCGTCCGTTGGCTCTTACGTCCTGGCGATAACTGCCAAAATATGGCGGAACTCGTGTCTCGCCGGAACGTCAGTTCCGGTCGATTGAACGCGACGGCGCTAATTGTCCTAACGCGCTAATTTCTCCCCATTCTAATTTGAATGGGGGAATCGAATTTTTAATAATTAACCCAACTACCCTAACTATCGTGACTGGTCTTTCCCGGTTGTTTCCCCCGGGGATTCGTGGACACTCTAACCCTAAATAACTTAACCTAAGACGGCAATTCGGGGAGGTGTCGGTCGTAACACCCCCACCGACCTTCCAACACTAACCCGTAAATAAAATTTCTCACGAATCCCTCTTTCAGGGGTGCTGGCACTCGCAGCCAGAGGGTTCATCCCGGGAAGATTTTGCGAACGGAATAACCCCCAAGTCTACGTGGGATGATAATTTTATATTACCCCTCTTCGCGACGAGATTGAGGACCGACACGATCTCCCACCCTAATTACTAATCCCAAAATCCTTAGCTAACCCTAAACTTTCCTTAATAAATCTCTAATCTCCTGCTGATTCGGCAGGGAAATAACCCTTGTAATTTTTCCCACCGTAAATTCCCCTAAAATTCCCTAATCTCCTGCTAATTCCGGAATTAGCAGGGAAAATCCTAAAATTTTCAACCGCCTTAGCGTAGCCTCCGGTTCAACCGGGATGATCGCGGGACCGTAATTTTATTTCATTTTAGTAGTGATTATTTATTTTAATTTTTCTCCACGGTGTGGGATTAGCGGGTTGGGCGCGGCACTCTCTCTCAAAAAAAAAACGATGCACGTCACACGTTGTCCAACGTCGAAGGGCAACTTGAAGTAAATAATAAATTCTGTTTCCGAATTTAGTTGTAAAATTATCGATAGAACAATGATGAGAAGGATCATTGCTCTATTTCTTTTATTTTTATTTGTGGGACAACGTTAATATGTTCTCACTCTTACCCGTTTTTTTTTATTCTTGGAATTCTATAGCTTTCCAATAGTTTATACTTGGGATTTTTCGGGATGATAGAGTGTTCTAAGAAGATTTGGAAATGATTTAGAAAACCAGATATTTCTTCTTTGTATTTCTCATGTATTTGGGTATTTAATATCTACAAAGAATTTTTCAACCCTGGATAAAATCTTTTCGGATAATTATTTAAATTCGATTTACTCACAGTTTTCTCAGATTATATTTGTCCTCCTTATAGTTTTGATATTTTATTCTATTAAAATTTTATTTTTGTTAGTTTATTACTTAGTTCAATTGTTTCTCTTAATCCAATGATGTGAAAGTCAATTTGTTTTCTCCAAAAAGTGTCTGGATTGTGGTCACAGTTCTTTTCGTATAATTGGAATGAAATTACGATGCACTTTCCGTTGGAATTAATAACACCGGAGTTTAGCGATTTTAGAATTAAAATACTACTATTTTCGGTTTAAGACAACAGTAGTCCAATCAAACACGAACAGTTCTCCAACTTTAGAGATCACCGTAGAGCGCCAAATATTGGTTCACTTCATGGGGTCCGATACGATTGACCAATTTTGTATGTATTTTAATTCCTATTTGGGTTCTTTACTCCCCAGAGGATCGGCTAAGACAAAATTTGGATACTTTAAATTTGGACGGGCTGTTCGGTGGAATTGCTTCCACGAGAGCACCTTTTGTTGCAATATTGGCCAACAGTGCATTGGCCTGAAAGGTCATTGTTCGTGCATGCATTGCCGATTTTAATTTGTTCTTATTCAGTGAAATTTGTTTCGAAATTTTGATTCATTTTCCACAGCTATTGCTTCATTAAAAAGTTCCTTCACCTGTTGCTCAATTTTGTGCAATAATTATCTTAAAAATTTTATATATATTATACATATTTTGCTTATATAATGATATTCATTATATTTTCTTTTTGGACATTACAAAATTTAACAGACGTTTTCTGGAGTTTCAATAATTTTTCAAAACAGGAGATTCTCGGAGATGAATCTGTCGAGCTGAACCGAAACAACAGTATCAAGGCAATAATGTCGAAAATATGTAAAAATCTTGCCTTTTCGACCATTTGATTATCGATTACTCTGAGGAAACTTGAGATCATTGTAGTCTCGATTTCTTCAAAATTGACGGAAACAAAGTTTCAATGTTGTACCTGCAACTGATTTTTTTTTAATTTAGAGATTTTCACCTTTTTTGTCAAGAATTCCTGCAAAGAGCATTCCTAGGGGTTAATTGACTACTATTTATAACTATGTATCTATATAAGTAATATGCAAAGATATAGTTAATCCACCTGTAGGAATGATCTCTGCAGGTATTTTGAGCAAACACCGTGAAAATTTGCGGGTTTCATTTTTCTTTTAAAATGTGTTGCTACCTGCAAACATCGTGACTTTTTTTCTCAATTTGAAAGGAATTGAGAGTGTAATCATCTCAAATTTTTTCAGCGTAGTAGGAAAATCTTTATACTTCAAAATTAATAAAGAAAAAATGGAAAGATTAACGAATAAAAAATAGAATTGATCAAGAAAAAAATATGAAAAAAAATGTCTACAATTATTAAGTGTGTTAATTATTTTAATTTTTTGTGATTTTTCAAACGATTTGTAGAACGAGAAAAAAATAAAACTGAAAGAATACATTTTTTAATTATTAAAAATCAGGGAATTAAGATATAGATCTGGAATTTTCTATAAAAGTATCTATGTAGGTCATAAGTATATAGAAAAGTTGGCGCCTTGAAATTCGCTGGAGTCCGATCTACCATGCCTATCCGGCTAGGTTCTCTCGACATTTATTGTTGAAAAATACCTGCAGAGATCATTCCTAGAATTTAATTATCAGTATGCATAAGTCTAATTACTAGTTAATCAACCTCTAAGAATGACCTCTGAAGGAATTCTTAACAAAAAACATGAAAATTTGCAATTTTTAATTTCTATCCAAATGTGTTGCAGGCAATACATTGATACGTTTTTTCTCTCAATTTGAAAAGAATTGAGAGTACAACGATTTCAAATGTCCTCAGAGTAGTATAAAAATCTGTATACATCAAAATTAATTAGAAAAAAAAGATTGAGCGACAAAAAATAGAATTTACCAAGGAAACAGTATGAAAAAAATATTGTTTACAAATTCGAAGTGTTTTTAATTTCTTAGAATCTTTCCAGATTTTTAAACCATTATTAGAATGAGAAACAAAATACAATTGAAAAAACATACTTTTTAGTTAATAAAAATCAGAGAATGAAGACACAGATCTGGAATTTTTCTCAGAATTATCTTTCTAGGTCATAAGCATGTTTAAAAAAAATCTTTAATTGATCAATTAAAAAATCAATTGATAAAAAGATAATTAATTTCTTAATTGGTCAATCAAATGTCTTTCGGATTTGATTTGTATGCAATGGATTAATATTGTGAGCGCTGTCCATTAACGCATCCCCAAAATCATGCGTATGCCATAACGCATCCTTCCACGGCAAAAGAAGACAATATTTTTATGACAACAGTAAAAAATAGGTGGTTTTTTTAAGGCAGTGTCTAGAGCTACGGTGTATGGCAATTGCCACACGTATGACAAAAGCCATACGCGTATGGCTTTTGCCATGCCTGTATGGCTTTTTTCATGTGTGTATGGCAAGAAAGTGCTTAAACATATGGTAAACGTTACCTTGGGCGTGTGGCAATTGCCATATACCGTGTTTCTAGACACTGCCTTTTTTTAAGCACACAGTAAGCAAAAGTCACCTTTTTTCAGTTATATCGTAATTTTTTTTTGTGAAGAATGACAAGAAAAACGTGTGTACTACACTTGTCCAATTACCCCTAAAAGTACCCATACTTTTCAGGCAAGGGATCCGAAAAATGTATTTAAATGTATAAAAGAAAATTTCATGTTCACGCATTTACATTGCATAGTTGGTTTGTCAGTAAATTTACTTACATTGGGCAGGTGGGATGATAAAATAATTCCTAAAAACAGGATGATTCTTAGCATTAGTCACAATGACTTTGGCAAGAGGTTTACTAATTTGCTTCATAAACAGAACTCCCAGTTTGAGAGCAGGAAATACTCCAACTGCCATGCTGTAACTGAGTTCCTTTGGCTATCAATATAACAGCCTGAAAATCCACGATATGGATTAGTACATATAGGGTCTGTATTATGAAGAGATTATTCGGCGCAATAACCTTTCCTGATATTTCTCTACTTGAGAGAACTTATCCACTATCATTTCATTGAAATGCACAATACATAATCGATGAAAAAACAATATCTGACCCTCTCAATGGATTGCAAGAAACAGCAACCGCAACATTTCACCTTGATAATTTTTCTAAAAACACTGTAAGTCATACTTGGTTCAACATTTACGTCCCAGTTGTGCTTGTGGTTTGTTTGAATATGAAATGATTACAATGTCTTGAGACAAGTAAAGGGAACATCGGAAATAATCAATGATCATTTAAGGATTCCAGTGTAAAATATTAAAAGAAGTCATACTATATGCAACTACGATTTTTCTACTAAAGAATTATAACTTATGTAGCAGACAACGATCACTCGATTACTGCGAGCTGTGAGGTTCAGTTAGATGCGTTCCTAGAATAAACGCTCTATAAAGAAGTTCCATGCTAAGGTATGATATAGGCAGGGGTGAAATTCTCGGCGTTTAAGGTACCTTAAAATCCTTACGTTTAATTCTCCGCCAGGGGGAGCTTTGCGTTACTTTCGATGTTTTTCCGAACGCTAGTTACCTTCAGTGCCAATGAGGGAATCATTTGAAAAGTTTTGTGAGTTTTTTGGTTTTGCGAATTATAGAAACAATAAGAGCTAAAAAGTGATGTTCCCGTTGCCTGGGATTATGGGTGCAGTGATAGCAGCAGGGATGGCTGTCGATGAAATCGAAGCAGCCAACAATCAATAAATTTTCCAAGAAAATCGAGCCCGCAATGAAATTGGCAGGAATCTTCTTGATCCATTGGAATCGTTAACAGATGCAGTTTTTAGAGAGAAATTTCGGTAATCAATTATTTTTCTATGAACATGAAGTATTGTTATATACGCGAGGATGAACGAGTATGAATTTGTAATTTTTCCAGCTTGAAAATTTCACTGCTTTTCATCAGTTCTAATTGGCTTGTTGCATTTTATATTTCAGTTTAACGAAACCAATAACATTATGGTTGATAAGAAGAATCACCCCCTTATTGAACGATGAAGGTGCTACGTCAACAATCCCGAAAAGAACCCAGGTATCATGTCTGACAATGTATAGTATACATTTATATTAATATTCAAGTAACAGAATATCATTTCTAACATTCACAAATAATTGCCACATATTTTTTAAATAGATATTGATCACACTGCGATTTTATGCATCGGGGTCTTTTCAAATGTGCATCGCTGATATGAAACTTTTTTGTGTATCACAACCCATTGTCAGTCGAATAATTGCCAATGTAACAGAGGCAATTGTTACATTAACTGATGAGTTTATCCGATTTCCTCAAACGCATCAGAAATTGGAAGAGATTTCCCAAGGGTATAGATAATCTCCCAACTTGCTTTACTATTAAGTTCTGAGTAATTCTTAAAGCAAAATAATCCACTAAAAAATTTAATATTGTTCAGGTTCGAGGTGAAGTCAAGTTTCCCGGGAATCATTGGATGTATTGATTGCACCCACATTGCTTTCCATGCACCGGTTGAGGAGCCATGGAGTTATCAAAACTACAAAGGTTTTTAGTCCATTAATGTCCAGGCAACATGTGATCATAAATTACGCATCACATCAATCGATGCATATCCTGGAACAGTGCACGATGCCAGGATATGGCGACAATCATATGTGAAAGAAGCTGTGCAAACAATGAATGATGAATATAATAGCAGATACTTTTTTTTAGGTACATGAATTAATCAAAAAGCTTCAGAACAAATAATATTTGATTGCAAAATGTAATTATGATGTAATTGTGGAAATCAACTTCAAAAATAATTTATCACAGCACGATACGGAGTTTTACCATTTTTTCCGAAGACTTAGATAAATTTGGGTCGAATATTTTTCGGAATTATTCGTTATTTCTGACTTCTAGTCGTTTCCTCCCTCTCCGCAATTGAAGGCAAGTAGCGTTCAGAAACTCAACGAAACTAACGCAAAACTCCCCCTGGCGGAGAATTAAACGTAAGCATTTTAAGGTACCTTAAACGCGGAGAATTGCACCCCAGGTATTGTCAAGCCAAAAACAGGAGACAAGTTTTCTCAGGTGGCATGAGACAGCGCAGCGGTCACTATCACAGTATCACCTTCTCCTCATCGCCTTGTCATCCCCACTCTGCAGCTGTTCGGCACTGGTGGGACTATTTAAAAAATGATACTTTAAAATAGCAGGAAAAAATGTAAAATATATTTTAAAAAATTTCAACTTCCCGGGTAAAAAAAAATTGTAATCGGAATATTTTTTTCAAATTGTCGAATAATTTCTGGAAAACTTTTCAGAAAATTGTTCTTCTCAAACAAAAAAAAATTGGGAAACAAAACAACTGTATTTTTGGGGAATATTTTGAGAAATTTTTCAAAAATTTGCTTCGGAAATTTTTTAAACGAATTTTCTAGAATTTTTAGCGAATATTACTTTTTCCTTTTAATTATACTGTTGTTTTCGTACTTTTTCCACTTTTCAATAGTCTCAAAAAATATGTCATCTAAATTATAAAAAAAAATTTTCCCATTCAAATTTAAAAGAAATTTTACGACAACCGATCAATCTCCATTGAACGCACTCCACAGTATCCGAAAATTGACATTTAAAAAATTTGTTGGGAATTTTTTCAGAAAAATCGGTTTTCTTTTCGGCGAAAAATGAAATTCACTTTTCTTCTTACGGATAGAGAGGTGGGAAGTTTTACGATTGGGCAATTGCACCTTTTTTTCAGGTCAATTTGAAAAAAAAAAAAATCAAACGACTCGACTGGGATTCAAATGTAAACGCCAGAAATCGCTGAATGGTGGGGATGAAACGCGCATGCGTTCGACATTTGAATTTCATATACCCGCCTAGAAAAATTTCCTAGAATATCCATTCACCCAACTCGTCCGCCATCTAACGGCATTCCTCGAACGGGCCTTCCTTACTAATATGTGATGTATATCTAATTTTCCTAATTAATTGTAAACAACCGATTAGTCGATGGCAATTACGAGAAATAGGTCTCTTTTAATCGTATAATCAATTTATTAATCAATTTTTATCATCCCTGATCTTATTGTCCCTTCAAAACCACACCCATATACATCCTTGCATATCCATGCAATACCACGGATACTCCATGGAATTTGAATCGCCAGGACAGTGAACGCTATCGAACATTTTTAAAAACCTAGAAAGTTATTTGGTTATGAACTTATCCTATAAAAAAATCACAAAAAAACTTTTGTGAAAAAATTTTGCCAAGTGGAGGTTTTATGGTATGATCATATTTTCCCAAAACATATTCTCAGTTTTATTCACAAAAAAATACGTGAAATAAAAAACACGCCAAGCATGTCCTTCACAAATTTACATTACTCAAGTGACTGAATCCAGTAATGTGAATTTTACATGCAAATTTACATTACTCAAGTGACTGAATCCAGTAATGTAAATTTTACATGTAAATTTTACATTACTGGATTCAGTCACTTGAGTAATGTAAATTTGTGAAGGACATGCTGGGCGTGTTTTTTATTTCACGTATTTTTTTGTGAATAAAACTGAGAATATGTTTTGAGAAAATATGATCATACCATAAAACCTCCACTTGGCAAAATTTTTTCACAAATGTTTTTTTGTGATTTTTTTATAGGATTTCACTTCTTTTTGCAAACATCAATTATTTTCACCGTAATATAATGAACAAGATGGATTATCTATCATCGAATTAATGGTAATCTATCATTGACATGCAAGTCACCTGTAAACGATTAACAGGGTCGAAATAGTTAATTTATTTAATTCGATGATCCATGCCATACTCCAAGCCCGAATTAGTTCAGGCGCCACCGCTACGGGACTATCATTCGGAAACTTATTCATACGCATGAGTATGTCTCCGGTAGTCTCTAGGGAAAAAGAGGAAAAGAGAGAAAAGAGAGAAAGACACACATTATGATATTCGTTGCCAACTTTGACGAACAAATCTAACGCTGAGAGAAAATAAAATTGAGGAAATATGACATGATGATGGTTGCTATGGAAGGATATTTTTATTTAGTGATTCAATCGAAAAAGTAAAAATACCTTCATAAAGCTCACCGTCAACTTATATGATGTAACTAAGACCCGATTTCGCGAAAAATTCTCGTATTACGAGAAAAAAAATCAAACACATTTTCGGAGTAGTTGTGTCGTGTATATTATACGCGACAGCATCGGCATGTGACGTCACACCGGTAAAACCTCCACTTGGCCGATACGCAGTCGCGTATCTTGATATTGAAAAGGCGTTGCAAATACGAAAGCTTATTTTTCTCTTTCAACCGTCGACCAATAGAATTGCGCCATTCGACATCACGTGGTACAAGCTACACGGTTTTTAAGTGAAAATTTTTCGATAATTTTGCATGTTACTGTAATTATAGAAAAACAAAAGGTCATTAATTTACGATAACCATCTATCGAACTGAAATGAACACGTTCATTTGTTTGCAACGAACCAGCCGGGAAACAAATTGTACAAAAGAACATTTTTCCGCCAGAAATAGTCAGAATATTGATTATTCATCAATAATCTGTTGGCACCAAGAAACTCGAGAATTCGACTAGGAGATGTTGACATTCGATTTGAACTAATGAAAAAATAAAAAGTAGAGGTTAATATTTACGAAATTTTCCGCATAAACGAGAAAAAATTCATGTGTTTCGAAGAGAAGAAGCACGGAAAAATAATTTTAGAAAACGATCAAATTAAAAAAACACATTTGGCGAATGAAAGCAATATCACCGTAAAACTTACATGAAATATAATATTGAATAATGATCGTATTTTGAAAAAGAGAGGATAATTATAACATAAAACGCGGGTTTTTATATACGGATATGTCAGAATCATTACTCCTTTGTAATGATTCTGACATGTCCGTATTATCCTATTAATATCCTATTAATTGAGCTGAAATTGTGTCCAGAAATGCTTTGCAGCAATAGTCACGATTATGTGACGAAGTTTTGGACTCCAAGCTTCAACTTGAGTTATTTTTATATTTTGATTTATAGAATTTTTCGAAATCATTAACACATTCCTTGGTATACAAATGCATATGTGGTGCTAAAATTTCATACTTTTTTGTTTCCGGCAAAATTAGCGAATTGGACAATTGACCGCTTAGAAGGCTTTATTCAGAAGTAAAAATTACAAAATAACTGGAGCTTATAGAAAATTGTAAGAATTTCAGATTACCTATCGAAAGTCAAAGCTGATGGAATACCGTGAAAGGTCAGGACCGAAAAATTTGGATTGCATGAAATTTCCCAATTGAATAGGTAATGAATCAAAATGGATGGCTCTCATTGATCCTGATACTTCATAAAATGAGAACGATGATGAATAATCAATTTTGATGCGAATCCAAAAAAATAAAGAATGGACAGCTGTTAACAGAGCGCGGTTAACTGTTCTACTCTTGGATTTTTACCGCTTAAGAAAGAATAATTATGGATAAAATATCCCGGAATTTATTTGAGTATTCCGGAGAAGGTGCCGGAGCTTTTGATCCATTACTTCTGCGAATTAATTTTTTTATATGGGATAAAACAAATACCAAAACATTTTGAAGGATTTTTGATGATGCGTTAATACTATTTTGACTAGTTGGGTGTGAACGTGGAACCTAGTGGACTTGTGTCGGTGTCATACTCACGTGCCATAGTGAGCGGCGGCTGACGTCGACGCACATTCGAGTGGTCACTGTTGACTGCGTTGGACGTTGATTCAGTTGAGAAATACATAGACTCCTTGTGGCGCCGAGGGATTACTTGCCAATAACAAACTTTCCATTTGTGTAATTCCAAAGAAAGTAAGAGGCCAATAATAATAAAAATGGCACCCAAACAGAGAATGCGTATTGCTAACGAGAAAGCAACCAAAAATATTACGTTGAGAGGAAATGTACCAAAATCGTCGGTAAGTTTATTGTATGAGTAGACAGATTTCTCTACAGTAAAAAGTGAGAGATCCGCAAACTTAGTAGTCTGAATTATTTTTCCCGTGAGTTTTCCTACACTCAAGTGATTCTAATTACGATTTGGATTTACGTATTGTTAGTCTTTTATTTATTTGAATTTTGAACTGAAAATTTGTATGGAAATATGAGGTTAGAATTCTACCATCTGTTAGTTTTAATAAGTGAATTAAAGACTTACTCAGTGTCTGCAAATTTGTATTTTGTAAAATCAAGTCAAATCCAGTAAATAATTGTCGGAAGGTTTGTTGTAAAATGGGCGAAGTGAAAAATAGGAAAATTTCTTTCACTGTTATTGTTAGTTATTAAGTTGTAAATTATTAAGCGCTAATGAAGAATCTTTTCATTAATTCAACATATTGAAGGTCAATAATATTTGTTGAAATCGCAGATATTTTTTGTATTGCAGAAATCGGCAGAAGAAGAAGCTCCAGTTGGACCTTGGCTTTTGGCTCTGTTCATTTTCGTCGTTTGTGGATCAGGTAACAATTTCCATTGAAAAAGTAAGATAAATAACTCAAGCCATGAACATGAACATCAGTTAGCACATATCATAAACAGTTCCCTTGAAAATATAAGCAAAGACAGCAGCAGGCTACGACCTGACCACCTAGCCTAGTTATGTCTCGAAATAAATAGGAACAATCTGCAGAAGGATTTCTATCGAAAGTTCATTGAAAGTATTTCACAAAAAAATTATTCCAAAAATATTTAATTACTTACTAATAATGCCACGCATTAGAAAGTACTTTGGGCAGTGTTTAGGGTTGAATTATTGGACGAAAGCACTCTACGTTCAATGTTACAATTCGTTAAGACCAGGTTGGAGTATCTGATTATCTCGTATAGATTGTTTTTTTTCTGTTTTTTTTTTAATCTACAACTTTGGTGCAGTCCTGCATGAAGCAGAGCTGTATTGCAAATGCATGTGGGCTGAAAGAAAAAGTAAAAAAAAACAAAAATATAGAGGCCGTGCTTTTTTATTAAAATCGGAGTATAATTGTACAGAGGCACAAGTTGGAAATATCTGATTTGATGGAGCCGCGGGGCGAAGGGGAGAGACGAAAGAAAATATCTTCCTATGCAGTAGGTGGAGCACTATTTCACAAAGTCGTTCTCTGAAAAATTAATAAATATTTTTAAGATTTTTTTAGTTATAATGTCCTGATTATTGACAGATGTCTCCGAATTAGATATATAAAAATTGAGGTGGCGATCAGCTGTTAGTTCAGCCATACAAAGGAGGGGCGGAGGGGACGTATGTTGAATGTAAATTATTCCGTACGCGGCATATGGGGTATATGTATAACATTTTCTTCTCTGAAAAATTTTCAATTATTTTTTAGATTTTTTCCACCATAATTTCGTTACCTCATAATTGGCACAAGTCTCCAAATTAGATGGTGAAAAATTGATGTGGCGATCAGCTGCCAATTTAATGAGCGAGATGAGGCGGGTTACAAGACGTACGATGAACGCTGCAGTTTAATTTTGATGTTCAGATGTTTTGGAAAAAATTATTTCGATATGCGCTAATCCTACTTCTTGTACCCCCCCTCAACCCGTACGCTAAATTGATCGCCACCTCAATTTTTCGCTATCTAATTTGGCGATATGTGCCAATTATGAGGTAACGAAATTATGGTTGAAAAAGCCTAAAAAATAATTAAAATTTTTTAGAGAAGAAAATGTTATACATATGTCCCATACACTGCGTAGAGAATAATTTACATTCAGCATACTTGCCGTCCGTTACCTTTTCTCGCTATGGCTGAAGTGGGAGCTGATCGCAACTGCGATTTTTCCATATCTACTTCGGAGTCATCTGATAATGATCAGGTAAGGAAATTATAACGAAAAAAATCTTTAAAATATTTTACAATTTTTCAGAGAACGAATTTGTGAAATAATGCCCCACCAACCGCACAGGATGATATTTTCTTTCGTCGCTCTCCTTCTCCCCTCGGCTCAATCAAATCAGATATTTCCAACTTGTGCCTCTGTACAATTATACTTCGATTTTTTAATAAAAAAGCATCAGTAAAGGGCGACAATTTTCGATCATAGTTTGCGGATTATTCAGACTTATTTGATCATTTTACCACATTATGAAATATATACGGACTTTCGTATTATCACATTGTTCATTCTAATTTTTATCAATCCGATTGCAGTCTTCTGACTCAATTGACATACTTTTGGCTAATAATTTCGTCGATCAGTTCTATATGCGCATAGTATTTTTCATCGCCTGGCCCGACTTAACCTCGTTCTGTACTAATCCTGGTCAGTTTTGGTTATCTGGGCCTGGGCCTGGGCCTGCTGATAAAAAAACTGTTCATTTCGCAAATTCACTAGCTCGAAAAATTTATAGGAGATACTTTTAAAAAAGGTAGCACTGCCTACTTGAACATCTTTAGAAGAGGAATAATTCGTGGAATCTCTTTACGTGCAATAGAAATAATGATGGGATGTCTTACGGTTCATAATTATACATTTTTTTTTGTTTCAGCTGTTTTCCAAATAATCCAGAGTATTCGGATGGCGTAATAAAAAACTGGCTCTATTTCACATATTAATGAAATATAATGAAGAAAAATTCTCATTTATAAAACATTCTATTTCCATCTACTGACTGAAAAGTTTTTATTTCTGGTATAAAGCGAAAAATTCCGTGGGTTTCGTTACACACCAATAACTGATCCGATTCTCTTGAATTTCTGGACGTATACATATTCTTCTTCTTGGTATTGTGTTGCATAGTCTCAGAAGCAATATTATAATTATCATGACATTAATATCTTTGCGTTTACTTAATCCATTTAACCGTCGATCGCAACAGTCGTATGCGAAGGAGAAATGTTTGAAGTCTCCGATATGTTTACGAACTACGAGGGCCGTAAGAAGCACACACTGTATACATGTAGAATACTACAAAACGGGACCCCTATAAAAACACTTGATGGTGGGATGGGTAAATAATATTTCCTGAAGAGTTTTAATTATTGCTGCTACATCAACTGAAAACGCTGAAGCTATTTATACCTTTCCATTTTGTGTAATGTATTCAGTTTACATCATATCCTTTTATGTAACGATTTTTGTAATGCAGTTGATGTCCAATTTGATACTAATATATGGAGACATGCAACAATATTTCAGAGGTGGTTAATCCAATTTTTTCATTAATAAGCATGAGGTTCATGATTGTAAATACTGGAATATATATAGTATTAATTAAAACATACCAATTTTCTTATTTCGTTTAATCTCGTTCTCTACAAATTGTTTTTAAAACTGTGCAAAACGTTTAAAGTCATGTGACCGTTTCTGATGCTTATATCTCTTACTACTGGAAAATTTTAAAACTGCAGTTTTTGAAAAATTGCTCCATTTTAACGTTTTGCATAATTTTCTATGTTACCAAAGGAAATGAAGTCAAATAAAGAACGAAGTTGAACTATTTTCAATGGAAAAAAAATTGGCCGAACATTGATCGATTGAGGTTCAATATTCTATCCAAGTTTGTTTTCCCTTGAAACTAGTTCAACTTGGTTTTCAGGTGATTTCGTTTGCTTTTGTAATATAGAAAATTATGCCAACCGTTAACTTGGCAGAACTTTTTAGAAACTTCCGGATTTGAATTTTTCAGCATTCATTAATTTTTTTAATTTTTGGTGGTGCACACAGAGATTATAGGGGAGATTGCTAGGGCTTATGGAAAGGCTTGAGCGAGTGATTCGTTGCGGCGGCTACGGAACTACGTCCAGAGAGCCCGTACGTGTAAGTAAAACAGGTCGCGAGCCCGTGAGTGTCGATAATTTTCAGAGCCCGTGCGTGTCGATAATGTTCAGAGCCCGTGAGTATGGATACGACAGAGCGCGAGCCCGTGAGTGTCGATAATTCGAGGCGGTCGTGAGTGTCACTAAGGTAGGGCACTTATTGAAATAACGATGACGTCCGAAAACGAACGAAAACATCCGATGTACCGGAGAGTGGGGGTATGATGGAGACACAACCGATGGACGGAATGAAAAAGCAAGTTACGTTCATAAATACGTCATTTGTTTAAAAAAATCAGGAAAAATTGTCTCGAACATGTATACTCAAGCGATTGAGAATCAGCTGAAACGTGGAGATTTATTGGACCCTCGGAACTTTTTTTTTTGAGCGATATCTTTTTTGTTAACAAATTCAAAAGTGATTAAACAAATTCGGGAAAAGTTGGCTCGCAAATGTATACTCAAACGATTGAGAATCGTCTGAAACGTGGAGATTTATTGGTCCCTCGGAACTTTTTTTTTTAAACGGCTCCATTTTTGTTAACAAATTGAGAAATGACTAAACAAATTCGGGAAAAATTGTCTCGCAAATGTATACTGAAACGATTGAGAATCGTCTGAAACGTGGAAAATTATTGGTCCCTCGGAACTTTTTCTTTTAAACGATATCTGTTTTGTTGATACATTCAAAAATGATTAAACAAATTCGGGAAAAATAGAGCCGTTGAAAAAAAAAGGTTCCGAGGGACCCATAAATCTCGACGTTTCAGGTGATTCCCAATCGTTTGAATATATATTTGCGAGACCATTTTTCCCAAATTTGTTTAAACTTTTTTCATTTTGTTAACAAAAAAGATATCGTTTAAAAAAAAAAGTTCCGAGGGACCAATAAATCTCCACGTTTCAGACGATGCTCAATCGTTTGAGTATATATTCGTGAGACATTTTTTCCGCAATTCGTTCAACAATTTTTCTAATTTTTTAGAGTGAACTCTTTTTTATTCCGTCCATCGGTTGTTTCTTGATCGTACCCCCACTCCGCTTTATATCGAATGTTTTCGTATGTCACGGTTTCCTCGAATTATCGATACTCTCGATTTCACGCTGTGCCGAATTATCTACACTCTGGGGCTCGCGCTCTGTCTTATCCATACTCACGGTCTCTGAACATCATCAACACGCACGGGCTCTGAAAATTATCGACACTCACGGGCTCGCGACCTGTTTTACTTACAGGTACGGGCTCTCGATCTGCTTTACTTACAGGTACGGGCTCTGACCCTGTTGAAGGTTTTGTACAGGCGCTGGCAATCTCCCCTATAATCTCTGGTGCACAACAGAGATTATAGGGGAGATTGCTAACGCGAATGGCGAGGCTTCAACCGGTGACTGGTAGTTGGCACCACATAATTGAAAATTCATTAGTTTTTTTATTTAGATCAATAGTAGGACCTTTGTACATCATTGTAATACAATTAAAAAATTTTGTAGACCCTTCATTATTTTTTAATTAATTAAACAAAATAATGATGGGAAGTTAGCACCCCACCCCACTAATTTC